GGAATGAATTTGGGCAATATTTAAGTGTTTTTCAGTGTTTTTTCCCAACCATGCAACCTGTGGTGTTGGGTCCTCGATTTGAAGAGACGGTGCCCCGCGTTCCTCTCCTTCCTCCTCCCCCTCCTCCCCTTCCTTGCCTCTGCTCTCGGCACACCTCTCACGCGCTTCGTAGCCCCATAGGGAGCTCCACCGAAGGCCCCAGTGGGGGTGTTCGCATGCGGTTCCCCCACCCAGTGCAGCGTTTCGTGGCCCCATAGGGAGCTCCACCGAAGGCCCCAGTGGGGGTGTTCGCATGCGGTTCCCCCACCCAGGGCAGCGTTTCGTGGCCCCATAGGGAGCTCCACCGAAGGCCCCAGTGGGGGTGTTCGCATGCGGTTCCCCCACCCAGGGCAGCGTTTCGTAGCCCCAAAGGGAGCTCCACCGAAGGCCCCAGTGGGGGTGTTCGCATGCGGTTCCCCCACCCAGGGCAGCGTTTCGCGGCCCCATAGGGAGCTCCACCGAAGGCCCCAGTGGGGGTGTTCGCATGCGGTTCCCCCACCCAGGGCAGCGTTTCGTGGCCCCATAGGGAGCTCCACCGAAGGCCCCAGTGGGGGTGTTCGCATGCGGTTCCCCCACCCAGGGCAGCGTTTCGTGGCCCCATAGGGAGCTCCACCGAAGGCCCCAGTGGGGGTGTTCGCATGCGGTTCCCCCACCCAGGGCAGCGCTTCGTGGCCCCATAGGGAGCTCCACCGAAGGCCCCAGTGGGGGTGTTCGCATGCGGTTCCCCCACCCAGGGCAGCGTTTCGTAGCCCCATAGGGAGCTCCACCGAAGGCCCCAGTGGGGGTGTTCGCATGCGGTTCCCCCACCCAGGGCAGCGTTTCGTGGCCCCATAGGGAGCTCCACCGAAGGCCCCAGTGGGGGTGTTCGCATGCGGTTCCCCCACCCAGGGCAGCGTTTCGTAGCCCCATAGGGAGCTCCACCGAAGGCCCCAGTGGGGGTGTTCGCATGCGGTTCCCCCACCCAGGGCAGCGTTTCGTGGCCCCATAGGGAGCTCCACCGAAGGCCCCAGTGGGGGTGTTCGCATGCGGTTCCCCCACCCAGGGCAGCGTTCGTAGCGGGAGCTCCACCGAAGGCCCCAGTGGGGGTGTTCGCATGCGGTTCCCCCACCCAGGGCAGCGTTTCGTGGCCCCATAGGGAGCTCCACCGAAGGCCCCAGTGGGGGTGTTCGCATGCGGTTCCCCCACCCAGGGCAGCGTTTCGTGGCCCCATAGGGAGCTCCACCGAAGGCCCCAGTGGGGGTGTTCGCATGCGGTTCCCCCACCCAGGGCAGCGTTTCGTGGCCCCATAGGGAGCTCCACCGAAGGCCCCAGTGGGGGTGTTCGCATGCGGTTCCCCCACCCAGGGCAGCGTTTCGTAGCCCCATAGGGAGCTCCACCGAAGGCCCCAGTGGGGGTGTTCGCATGCGGTTCCCCCACCCAGGGCAGCGTTTCGTGGCCCCATAGGGAGCTCCACCGAAGGCCCCAGTGGGGGTGTTCGCATGCGGTTCCCCCACCCAGGGCAGCGTTTCGTAGCCCCATAGGGAGCTCCACCGAAGGCCCCAGTGGGGGTGTTCGCATGCGGTTCCCCCACCCAGGGCAGCGTTTCGCCCCATAGGGAGCTCCACCGAAGGCCCCAGTGGGGGTGTTCGCATGCGGTTCCCCCACCCAGGGCAGCGTTCGTGGCCCCATAGGGAGCTCCACCGAAGGCCCCAGTGGCTGTCTCGCATGCGGTTCCCCCACCCAGGGCAGCGTTTCGTGGCCCCATAGGGAGCTCCACCGGAGGCCCCAGTGGCTGCTCTCGCATGCGGTTCCCCCACCCAGGGCAGCGCTTCGTGGCCCCATGGGGAGCTCCACCGAAAGCCCCGTGGCGCAGTTCGCATGCGCTTCCCCCACCCAGGGCAGCGTTTCGTGGCACCATAGGGAGCTCCACCGAAGGCCCCAGTGGCGCAGTTCGCATGCGGTTCCCCCACCCAGGGCAGCGTTTCGTAGCCCCATAGGGAGCTCCACCGAAGGCCCGCCCCGGTGGCGCAGTCCGCATGCGGTTCCCCCATCCAAGGCAGCGCTTCGTGGCCCCATATGGAGCCCCACCGAAAGCGGCACCCACAACGCGTTACCAACAATTGCTTATGGTTGGGTCTTTCGCCAGGATATTTTTTTGGTGGTTTTGGAGGTATTTTAATGATTTCCAATGTTCTTTTGTAGTTTTGGGTAGTAATGGCCCCGGGGGTCCGTTTGGCATGGCGTCGGGGCTTCGAAAATCCGCCCCGGGAGGTTCCGTTTGGCATGGTGTCACGGGTCACGCCCCGAAAATTTGGTTCCAGGAGATCCCGTTTGGCATGGTGTCGGGCCCCCTAGACCCGCCCCGGGAGGTTCCGTTTGGCATGGTGTCGGGCCTTCGAAAACCCGCCCCGGGAGGTTCCGTTTGGCATGGTGTCGGGGCTTCGAAAACCCGCCCCGAGAGGTTCCGTTTGGCATGGTGTCACGGGTCACGCCCCGAAAATTTGGTTCCGGGAGGTCCCGTTTGGCATGGTGTCGGGCCTTCGAAAACCCGCCCCGGGAGATTCCATTTGGCATGGTGTCGGGGCTTCGAAAATCCGCCCCGGGAGGTCCCGTTTGGCATGGTGTCGGGCCCCGTCCGCGGCGGATGGTCTCCCGTGGGGAATCGGGGCCAGATTCTCCACGGGAGACCCCCCGCCGCGGACAGGGTCCGTCGGGGGGCTCCCCGTGAGCTCTGTCCGCGGCGGATGGTCTCCCGTGGGGAATCGGGGCCAGATGCTCCATGGGACACCCCCCGCCGCGGACAGGGCCCGTTGGGGCTTGGGGTAGAGAGGGGTGGCCCCTTCGAGTGCCGCGCGGCGGCTGTGCGCCTCAACTCAGCTGCGCGGTAGCGTTGGGTTCGAGAGTTGCGCGCCGGGGCCCCTGTCGGGTAGGAGATTCGAAAGTTGCAGATGGACTCCACCGCAATGTTTCGCGAGGTCGCCCTGTGCGGGTTGGCGCAGGAGCAGGGCATCGCCGCTCTACGGGCGTGCCTCGCCGACGCCCGCGGCGATGAGACACTTCGCTTCACCGAGATCACTTCTGCCATGGCACGTCGTGCTGTCGTGTGGGGCGATTCCTCGGCGTGGGATGACATAAAGGTTGTTCTCCAGACTCGCTTGGCCCCCGGCTCTCGGCCGTTGCCATCCGAAGTCATGTCCGTCTGTGCTGCCCATTTCCGCGATGCAGATTTCATCGTTCCCGACCCCAAGGAGGACGCTGTCATTGTCCACGGTGGGCTGGACAACGGGTACGGGTCCGCGGAGGATGGGTGCCACTTCTTGCCGCTGCTCCATGTCGACGAGTACCGCCTGTTGCCCCCGTGCTCGTCACCGAAATGGGCCGACATGGTGGCGGCCGTCGCCGCTCGCAGTGGTGATCTCGCGCTGGAGTCGCGAGTCCGTGACGGGGGCGACTGCTACTTCCACGCGCTTCTCGTCCTCCTGCATTTCCGGGGCGTGCTCATGCTCGCGCCGAGCGGCGTGTCCGCGGCCCCGGGGGGAGGTGGTGCCGGGGCTGCCCCGAGCCCACCTCCTCCCCCGAGCTCGCCAGCCGGTCCAGTCCCAATCGCTGACGGCCCGCTCGCGGGGTTGCGCCCCCCTGCGACGCCTCGGAAGAGCCCCGAGCCCGACTCTCAGCCCCCGCCTGAGTCGCCCATTCCCGCGGAGCAAGCGTCACCTGCGACTCAGGTCTCTCTGCCGAGCACACAGTTCACCTCCTTCAGGAATGGTGCGCGGTTTGAGGATTCCTTTGCAGCGAGTGCCAGTCTTCGCGTCCCGGACCCCACGGGCGAGAGCGTCGCCGCATTGCAGGCCAAAGTCGAAGGGCTCCCAGAGGACGAGGCATCGAACGCGATCGAAGAGTTCCTGTTTCCTGACATCGTCTTCGAGGGTTTTAAGACGAAGGAGGAGGTCTACGAGACAGTGCGCCAGAGGGTCATGAAGGCGTGGGAGGACACCCGGTCTCACCGCCAGATTGCCAGCGAGCTGGATTTCGATTTGCGCACCATCGCGCCGAAGCTGTTGGCGGACGCCGTGCACACCGCAGCAAAGGCCCGGGGTCTCTCTGCGGAGGCGCTGCTCTCCGCCGTGGAGTGCAACATGGGTTTCATCGAGGCGCCCGGAACAAAGCTGACGCACTTGCGGATGTCAGGCCGTTACATTTCCCCTGGCCAGCCCCTCTTGATCGGCAGCGCGTCCTCCACGCGGAAGTCGGCCTTGATGCAGTGCACGGACAAGTGGTTGACGCAGGTCCCGGAGGCCTCCCCTGTTTTCAAAGACAAGTTGGTCATGAACACGGACTGCACCACGAAGGGCATTCGGAAGCAGCTTGAAGAACACGGCCGGTGCGGCATCTCCAGCGACGATTGGTCCCGTCCTGGTCGTGTCCCATTCTCGGGGCTGTTCTCGAGTGGCTTGGAGCTCGAGGGCTCCCCTGGCGTTTTGGGGGAGACCAGCCCTCTTCGGATCGATGTTGTTCCTATGCGAAGCGGCTCCTGCGGGGCCCCCCAGGACGTGTGCGCGGACGACGGGGTCGATTCCGAACAGAGCGACTCCTTCATCGAGCGTCTGCACGGGTGGATGCACGAGCATTGTTCTGATGTCGCCAGCGTTCTCTCGCTCGACGGCTTCGCCTACACCATATACCGTGCTGCGAAGCAGGCTTTTGATGATATCTGTCAGACCGTGCCAATGCCGCCGGCATTCAAGACGAAGTTGAATTTCTTTCACAGCGACTTGCTTCGCGCAACGCACCGGGTGCACCGCGGGAACCAGTTCGCCAGGCATTTCATCGCCCGGCATGCTGCCCAGGGCGACGACGCCCTGGCGCCGCAACCGCCTTTTGATGCTGCTTGCGGGTGTTGTCTTCCCAGTGTGAACGAAATCACGATGGGGCTCCACAAGGTTCTCCGCCAAATTGAACTTCACTTCGGGCTGTGCCGCTTCCACGTCGCCCACGCTGCCGAGGGCAACCATCGCTCCGGCGCCGACGGCAGGTGCGCAGGCGGATCTTCGGCGGCCGTGCTGGCCGCTCCTGACGTCGCGGAGATAGCGATGAGGGCCCTCATGCCGTCCGAGCTGATGCGGCAGTTCCTGCTCACTCGCGCTCCCAAGGGGCAGATTTTCACGGAGGCGGATGCGAGGCAGTGGCTCAGGAATAAGAGGGACACGTGGTTCAGAACGGACCTGGCAAAGAAGATCTCCGACGGCTTGACAGCGCTGGTCGCGGCTAATCTCCTGGACAGGGTCGCGGACTCCGCCGATGCGGGGGACTCCACGCAGAGGGCCAAGGCGGCGCAAGGCTGCTGGGGCCTGGAGCGTCGTGGTCTAGCGAGTTGGCACTGCCGCGTCCAGGGGCTCCCATCGCTCTCCCCCGTCACTCCGGGCCAGTGGGGCCCAGGCATCAATCGTCGGCAGTTTCCCTGGAATCAGTGGATAGTTCCCTGTGTTGCCCCCGAGATTCTTTTGGTTTCGCAGTGGGAAATCCAGGTCTCATTCAGACCGGAGTGCCCGGGCTTTCGATGGTCGTTCAGCGAACCCACGAGGCAAGCGCAAGGGCAACCCCAAGGGCAAGGGCATGTTCAAGAAGCGCAAGCTCGAGGAGATCGTTGCGGACGCAGATGCCACGGAGGAACGCAAGCGCCTGCGGGTGAGCACGAGCGAATTCGAGTGATGGGGGCGGCAAATTCGCGCGCCGAGAGGGGTCGTCAGGTGACTTCTACGCTTCTCTCCCAGCGCAGACTGCATTCTCGTCGCGCTGGTGATTGGGGACACCGGCTTGCAAAGAGCGTATAGGTCGGTGGCCGGGGTTGCCCCGCGATCGGCTGTGTCGGCCCAGTCTTTCAGTGACCTCAGCTAAGCTGCGGGCATCATCTGGTCTGCCCTGAAATCGGCTTCGGCGGCTCTTGCTAATCTACTTCTCCCCTCCTCGACTCATTGAAGTTCCCTCGCTTCCTCCCCTCCAACGACGCATCAGCCGTGCTGCTTCGTGCGATCGGGGCGCGCGAAGTTGCATTTTCTGCTGTCACCCGCGTTTAAAGCATGCCGCGCTTAAGTGCGTGCATCGCGCTCTCCTGGGGCGGCTTTTGGGGTGAGGACACCGTCTTGTACCTGGGGGAAAGAGTGGCGCGGATTGCCCTTGCCATGGGAGGGAACAGAGGCGGCCGTACACGGTGGAGGATAACATACGTTGGCTGAGGTACCACGAGAAGGAGTGCTCAAGTCTGCCTGGGTGGCTGGCGCTGACCAAGGGAATGGCCGTGGCTGTAGGAGATCACTTGGATCGGTCCAAGAAACAGTTTCTGCGGGGGCGCACAGCCACGATCCATGGATGGGCGTTGCACGAGGACGAGATCGTGGGAGATGAAGAGGAGGGAGTGATGTTGCATCTTCCATACGAAGGAGTGGCACCTGCCAGGGTGGGAGCTGGTGCTGTATCCGATCTTTCCACCGAAAGGGCGGCAATGGTTCTTGGACGGGTATCGGAAGCATCCTGTGTTGAGTTTGAAGCGCTCCCATTTTTTTGATAATCCCGCGATTGGCGTTAACGGCGCATGTTGCCCAGGGGCGGACCATGGCAGCAGTGATAGCTGACCTCGAAAGAGGGCGCGGCGTGAGTTGGATGTGCAGTTACGTTGCCATCACGCGCGTGGTCAGACGGGAGAATTTGCTGATCTTCCGCCCGTTTGATACGAGTCCGTACAACGCGGGTGCGATGGCGGGCACGAACAAATTGTTGCAAGTGCTGCGAGGGGAGAGCGTGAATTGGGATGAGTGGGAGGCGGAATTAATGCCACGAGAGCAGTGCGAGCGCTGCCGGCGGAGGTTGGTGGTAGAGGCGTTCACGAAGTACGAGTTCCAGAGAAAGGAAAGGTCAGCGTTCTGCAAAGAGTGACGACGCGGCACGCTATGGCAGCGGTCGGAACGCGGACGCGGCTGCCGACGACGGGGAAATGAAACAGATTAGGAAAATGTACTGCGCGAAGTGTAGCCATGTCAAAGCAAAGCAGAACTCGCGGAAAGGCAACGCGAAGTGGAACGAGAGCGTCGGCACGGTGCGATGTACGAACGGGAAACGCCTGTCGCTGTATGGTGAAAAGGCGGAGATGTCCTCAGTTCAGAAAAGGCACAATGCTGCGGTGGAAAGATTCTGTCGGAAATGCGCGGAAGAACGAGAGAAAGGGGTGCGACGGGGCAATGCGGAGGCAGCGAATCGCAAACGGAAAGCCGAGGCGGACGCGAAGCCGCTGACGTGCGCGGCGTGCGGAGAAGCGTTCAGGCACGAAAATATGTTGCAAGTGCTGCGAGGGGAGAGCGTGATGTGGGATGAGTGGGAGGCGGAATTAATGTTACGAGAGCAGTGCGAGCGCTGCCGGCGGAGGTTGGTGGTAGAGGCGTTCACGAAGTTTCGTGGTGGTGATTTTTTGCGGGGCTTCTCGCGGGAATTTTTGAGGCAGTTACGCAGCGTCTTGGGAGCCGTTTTGGGGCCGTTTGGGGCCTTTTTGGACGCCGTTTGGGGTTTCTTGGGGCCTCATGGAGTTTGCTGTGGCTGTCAAGGGGCGGAAGGCTCGGATTGTCGGTTGAAGTTCCCCCTTTCGGGCCTCTCTTGGGGATGTCTTGGGAACCTCTTGGGCCGTCATTGGGGCCTCTTGGGCCGTCTTGAAAATGTACGTTTTCCGATGAGTCTTTTTGGAGGTTTTTGGGGTGTCTGGGAGATTCCTTGGTTTGTTTTCGGCCGATCTTGGACGGGTTGGAACGCTCGCTTGGTGTCTTGGAACCCTCGTGGGTCGTGTTGGAGGTCTCTTGGGACTTTCTTGGCTTGTCGTGAGCTTCTTTTGGGCGCAAAGAGGCCGTGACGCGCTTGTAGGGGGCCCGGGTGGGGAGGGGCCCGGGGGAGCGGGGGGGGGGTCGAATCGCTGGTTTGGGGTCCCTGGGCGGGGACTATAGGGGGGGGGTGAATTATTTCACACGCCTAGAGACCCACGGGGAGGAACTATCTCACACCCACCAGCCCCGTGGGGCAGTCTGAGAGATGCCGCGGGCGTTGTCCCCGCGCAGTTTCGCCCTCCTCCTCTTCCTTCCGTCTCCGCGCCAGAGGTTCTCCGCCGTGGAGGGGGGGCTCGGGTCGAGACGGGTGGCCCCTTCAAGCTGCGCCATCGTCGCGGGCGCAGGATCTTCATCGTCGCCATCCAACGCGTCGGCGGGGGGCTCGGGGTAGAGAGGGGCGGCTCCTCGAAATTGCGGCGGAGGGATCGTCGCCGCCGCGTCGTCTTCATCGTCTTCATTTATTCCCCATCAGAGCTTCTCTGTCGCAGAGGGGGGCTCGGGGTATGCTACGTCGCGGGCGCAGGATCTCCGCCGTCGCCATCCAACGCGTCGGCGGGGGGCTTCGGGGAAGAGAGGGGCGGCCCCTCGAAATTGCGGCGGAGGGTCCGGGGTGAGGGGGGTAGCCGCTTTCAGGCGCGCCCCATGTGCGGAAGATTCATTCTCCGCCGCGCAGTGACTGCGCGCTCTCGCCGCCGCTGACGCCGTCGTCGTTATGTCGCGATTGCTGTCGCCGTCATCATTGCCGTCATCGTCGTCACCGCCGCCGCCGCCATCGTGGTCAGCGGGGCCGCAGTCGAGAGACCGTCGCCGCCGCGTCGTCTTCATCGTCTTCATTTATTCCGCGCCAGAGCTTCTCTGCCGTGGAGGGGGGGCTCGGGGTAGAGACGGGTGGCCCCTTCAAGTTGCGCCATCGTCGCGGGCGCAGGATCTCCGCCGTCGCCATCCAACGCGTCGGCGGGGGGCTCGGTGTAGAGAGGGGTGGCCCCTCGAAATTGCGGGCCCGGGGGGTCCTGGAGATCGCGGGGCCCTCGCGGACATGTGGGAGAGCCGTGTTTTTCCGGCGCCAGCGCCGTCGGCTATCAATGTCACCATCATCGTCGCCGCCCCGTCGTCGGCGCATGATCTCCGCCGTCGCCATCCAACGCGTCGGCGGGGGGCTCGGGGTAGAGGGGGGCGGCCCCTCGATGTTGCGGCGGAGGGTCCGGGGTGAGGGGGGTAGCCGCTTTCAGGTGCGCCCCATGTGCACCCCCGAGGGCCCGGGGCCTTGGGGGGGCCAGCCTGGTGGCACGATCGAGTTGTCTTGGTTGACTCCTATTCCTATTCCTGCTCCTCCTCTTGTTTTTGTTCCGCTTCCAGCTCCGCTGTCGTCATGTCCGCAGTCGTCATGTCTCGAAGGGCAGCGCGGGGCGCCCTAGCAAGCGCGTACCGCACTCGACAACGCTACCCAGCCCACTACGAGCTGCTAATGGAGGTGCTCTCAGATCATGACAAGAAGGCCGTCGAGGATCTGCAGTATCGGCGTATCGTCCCTGAGGATTACGAATTGCTGTCCGGACTGGACGCGAGCGTGTCCCGCAGCGCCCGGGATATGGACTACATCAACAGCGTGCTCGAGCGGTGCAAGGGCGGACACCCCGGCGATCCGGCACCCGCGAATTGCATGATTTGCATGGAGGATGTCCCGTGCCGCCACCTACCTTGCAGGCATTCGTTCTGCTCCGACTGCCTCGTTTCAAGTTGGTCCAAGGTGGACGCGCTCGGCCTGATTTGCCCTGCGTGCAGGCAAGATGTGGCGGAAGTGTTGGCGCTCGCGGAGGAGAGAAAGGCCGGTGTCGCCACGGGCGGTTGCACCGAGGGCGCCGCGGGCGCAGGGGGCGCTGCGGAGCAGGGCGTCGGCGCTGCCGCCGCCAGCGCGGCCAGGCCCCTCGAGGGCGCCGCCCGCGCTGGTGCCGCGGGCGCGGGAGGCGTGGCCCAGGCGTCCGAAGAGGGCGACGTTGCGGGGGAGAGTGGCGAAAAGACGGTATGGCAGTGCGTGGTCGCTACCATTCTGTCCGAATCCCCAGACCTCTCCTCGGAAGTCGCGAAGCGCCTCCAAGTGGGGGGCCGTCTCGAGGGCCTCGCCGTGCCTCGGATGGAGGGCCCGGTGATGCGGGTGCACGTGAGGATCGGAGACAAAGTCGGCTGGGTGACGTTGCGGAGCACTTCGGGCAAGGAGCTCGTCTCAGTCTTGGGCGCCGACGCTCAACCTGGCGCTGCCGGCGGCCGTGGCGCGCCTGCCCTGGCGCCCGGGGTGCCCTCGCCAAGAGCCCCGCAGTCGCGCCCGATGGCGGCTCCCGATGGCGCTGCGTTGTCGAGATCGGCGGACCCGCCGCCCGCGGTCCGAGGGGGAGGCGGTGCCGGGGATGCCCCGAGCCCAATTCCCCCCCCAGTCGCTGACGGCCCGCCCGCGAGATCGGCGGACCTGCCGACCGCGGTCCGGGGGGGAGACGGTGCCGGGGATGCCCCGAGCCCAATTCCCCCCCCAGTCGCTGACGGCCCGCCCGCGGGGCTGCCCGCGGGGGCAATGACGCAGCATATGATAGTAGATGCGCAGTATTTGGAGATGGCAGTGAAGGGCATCAAGAACAAGGAGTACCGCGGGTTGAAGACCGATTACTGGCGACGTCGGTTCCTCTAGGGTGGGCGGGACTGGCACGTCACCCGCGTGAGGATGAGGGCCGGCCGCGAGAAGTTCAGGCCGGAGGCGGTGTTCGAGATCGTCAACAAGGAGGTGATCAAGGTGGCCGACTTGGCCGACGAGTGCTTGCCCGACCGAGGTACGGAGGCGTGGGGCCGGCTGTTCGGCGGGTGCACGGAGGTGCTGGTGTTGCACCTCGGTGGCATCGTAGAGAACCGCACCGAATGGCGGCGCGAGGTGGAGGGCGCGCAAGGGGGCCCGGTGCTGCGCGCGGTTTCCCCCGAGCGCGCGGGCGCCCAGGACGACGCGGAGGACGTGGAGGCGGGAGGGCGGTTGGGCCACCTGCGCCCAGAGGGTAGACGGGATTTGGGGTTTCTTCATGCGGCATGGCTGGAAAATCGTCGGCCTCGTCCGCGGGCGGGGGTTCCCCCAAGCGGGCCCAAGTGGTTCCCCCAAGTGGGCTCCAAAATCGTCGCTCCCTCCCACCATATCGCTACCTTCCAGGGGCAGGGCCGCGTGCTCGTCGGCCAGGGCATCGGCGCGGAAGAAGAGCAGGCGAAGTGGAGGCTGGCGAGCTCCTTCCTGTCGCGGCGCGGAGGCCTCGTCTGGAACGAGGTGGTGGAGGCAGCACTGGGCGACAAGCAGAAGCTGTTCGACCGCGTCGTGGACTTCCGGGGCACGCGCGCGACGCTGCTCACAATGTCAATCGGGGCGCTGAGACAAATCGGCCAGGCTGCCATGTTGCACTGGGACGTGATCCGGGAGAAGAAGCCTGCACTTGTCTACCACCTAATCCGCTGGTACCGCCAGGCGGCGGTCGATGACGCGGCGTCGGCGGCCCCGCCCGCCGAGCCGGCGGCGGAGGAGGCGGAGACGGAGGAGAACCCATTGGCGGACGCCCCACTCCTGATCCCGCGCGCCAAAGTGGCGCGGATCATCCGCGCCCTGCTGCCGCTGTTGTCGGCGAAGAGGTCCGGCCACGCAGAAGGCGCGCCGCTGAAAATCACCGATGAGGCCGTGGGTGCCGTCCACGAGCACCTCGAGTACGTCCTGCGCGCTCTGGTGAGCGACGCTTTCGCTGTGGCCGAGTGGGCGAATAAAGACCGCGTGAAGAAGATGTCCATGACTGCGCTGGCCGTCGGGATGTCAGGCTCTATCCAGACGAAGACGTTCGTGGCCAGCAAGCGGAAGCGCAGGCTTGCCAACGTCCTGGATGACCTTGCGAAGCTCGCGGGGAGTGTTTACGACGGCGATGCGCCGGTCGACTGGGTTGGTTGCGACGAGCTGTCCGATTTCCTCTTCAGGAAGTTCATCCCGGCCGAGAAAAGTGAGAAGATTCGCGTGCCTGCGGCAGCTTTCAGGGATATGCGGTGTTTCACGTTCCACTTCCTCGACGCGTTCCTTTCCCAGGGCGTCGAATCGGCGCGCCGCTGCGGTAAGAACACTCTGACCAAGCGGATCCCCGAGCCTTCGGCCCAATCTGCCCCCTGGCTGGCCTGGGTCGCGGGCACGAGGCTTCCTGCGGGGGCGTCACGGTGTGTCACGGGGGGCCGTGGGGGACTCTTCGGATGTGTTGGGCGTCCCGGATCTTCGCGGGGCATCCTGGGTGGCGCAATGGGGCCGTTTTGTGGTTGCCCTGGGGCTCCGTTGGGGCTCCGTTTGTCTTATATGTATATATATATATATATATATACTCATCCATTTGGAGCCGTCTTCGGGCGCTCATGGGGGCCGCTGGGGCTCGCGGTGTGTCACCGGGGGCCGTGGGGGACTCTTCGGATGTCTTGGGCGTCCCGGATCTTCTCGGGACATTCCGGGTGCCGCAATGGGGCCGTTTTGGGGGTGCCCTGGGGTCCTGTTGGAGCAATATAGTTTTTTTTTTGATTAAAAAATACATACATATATATATATATATATATATATATATATATATTCATCTATTTGGGGCCATCTTCGGGCGCTCATGGGGGCCGCTGGGGCCGTCAAGGAGCAATCGAGGAGCGTTCGAACTCGTGTCTCGAGGCACAGTGGCGGATTTTGCTCGTCTGATGTAATGGCGCGGGCCCCTCTGTCAGCGGGGCCTCGGCTGAGGGCCAAGGCGCGACGTTTCCGGGGTTGCCCCGAGTTGGGTCTTTGCCTTCGCATATGTTTAATTTGTTGTAGTAGCATTTCTGTGGCGAGCGCCTTCCGCATTTAAGTGCATTTACTTGTTCCTTGTGGCATTTATTTGAATTTATTGAGCCCGCAGAGCGGGAATCGCGGCGGGTCTCCGCAGGGAAAACTCGCACGCAGATTTTGGATTCAGTTGGTGTTCGGGGGTGCGGCTTCGAAGGGGCCTGGTACCAATCATCCCTTGGGGGTTGAGCGGTCTTGGGGTTTAGCTGATGACCTTGGGAAGCGAATGGGGTACGAAGTGCGTGAGGGTGGTTTCGAGTTTAAGCTCAGTTAGGCCATCCGAGGGGTCAGTTGAGGGCCCGAGACATGACGTGCGTGAGGGGTATATCGAATTGAGGTTCCCTTTGGCTGCCTCTAGCTGCCTCCCAGGGGAGCCGTGGCCTCGCAGCGGCGGCGGGGTCGGGGTCGAGAGGGGTGGCCGCCTGTCAGTGGCGACTCATCTGCCCAAGATATGCCCACCGCCGCGCGGCGGTTCCGGGGTTGCCCCGAGACGCGCCCTTGCGCCATCTGCCGAGTATTCGCCCTCCGCCTCGCAGCGACTGCGCGATCCTCGCGGCCGTTGCCCTTGTTCCCCCTGAGTTGCGTCCCCGTGCAACCGTTTCACCAGGGGCTCGGGGTCGGGATCGGTGCCCCGCTTAGCCTGCGCCCCTCTGCCAAAGGTACATCTTCCGCCGCGCGGCGAGGACGGGCCCTGGTGGGCTCTGGAAATGCCCACCAGAGACATCCCGCCGTGGACGGGCCCCAGGGGGCATGGGGGGCTTTGGGCATCCCCAAGACGCAGGAGACAATATTCTGGTGGGAACAAAATTCAATGAAAGCAAACAACTACAGCCGCGAATCGCACACACATATTTGCCTATTAAAAGCGCCCCGAATGTGATAATCCACACAACGATATACAGAAGAAACAATGAAAATAAAAAAGCAATCACGATTCGTCGTCGGTCTCAAAATGCTCTCGGTTAACCTCGACTTCAACCCCGCCTGGGCCCGCCGGAGCTCCCTTGTTGGAATTGCACTTGGAGCCTTTGTTGGAGGATGTTGTGATCGTTGTTTCGATTTGGCACTCCACAAGCTTCCTTTTGGCCTCTGTGTCCAACTGTTCCAGCCTGTCAGCGGCCCCTTGGACTGCCGCATGGTCGAGAGCTCCCGTGGCCTCGACTCCCTGCAGGTCGTCCCCGCCGTCGTCATTCTTGTCCTCGCCTCCTCCTCCTCCTCCTCCGGGCGATGCCGCTCCCGCCCTCGGTGCCGCCCCGCTCCTCGACGTCGGCCCAGTGGGTTTTTTTTGGGGGTGGCAGCGGAGGCGTCGTGGGCGATCCGTGGGCCTCCCCGCACTCTTGGCGGGCCAGGGCCGCGTGGGGATGGCCCCCCCCTCGCCGCCCGAGGCGGGCAAGGGGGGGGCCGCCGCCCCTCCGTGGCCGTTGTGGCCATCTGGGCTCGGGCCGTCGCGGGCCGGGGCCCGGGCGCTCGGACTGCCCCCGCAGCTCCGCAAGGGCGTGGCTCCGGGAGGGCGGCGCTGCGGGTGGCATGTCGAACAGGGAGGCGCACGATCTGGAGGCGGCAGGCGACGGTCTCATGGAGCAGGCCGGCAAGAGGTGGAACAAGACCACGAGGGCGTTCGACGCGGTGGCCGGACACGCCGCTTGCCCCGAAGATGCGAAGTACAAGAAGCAGGCGAAGGAGAAGTACGACGAAGCGAGAAGGAAACGCGTGCAACTTAAAGGAATGGCAGAGCAGTCCGTGAACAAAGACGGCACCAATGACGTGAAGAACGCGAAGGGCCTTCAGGGCGCCATCGACTATATCGACGCCAAGAAGAGCGCGATGTGAGGTCAGAGTGAGGGTCGCCACGCGCCATATCTGAGTGCGTTGCGGCATTTGTGTGTGAAAATACATCTATAGGTTTCTGGCGGCTTTAAGCTCCCCCTTCCCCTCCTCCTTCTTCTCCCTCCTCCTTCTTCTCCCTCCTCCTTCTTCTCCTCTCCCTTGCCCTCCTCCTCTCCCCCTCCTCCTCCGCCTCCTCCTCGGGACCCGCCCCTCAAGTTAGTTGCCTTCCCTCGGCGGCGTCCGCGGTTGTCCCGCGCGATAGCGCCTGGTTCGAGGATTGCCCGCGCCGGGGGGGCCGTCGGGTAGGAGTTTACAGATGGACTCCACCGCCATGTTCCGCGAGGTCGCCCTGTGCGGGTTGGCGCAGGAGCAGGGCATCGCCGCTCTGCGGGCGTGCCTCGCCGACGCCCGCGGCGACGAGACACTTCGCGCCACCGAGATCAGTTCTGCCGTGGCGCGTCGCGCCGTCGTATGGGGCGATTCCGCGGCGTGGGATGACGTGAGGGATTGTCTCCAGTCTCGGTTGGCCCCCGGGCCCCGGCCGCTGCCATCCCAAGTCGTGTCCGTGTCTGCCGCCCACTTCCGCGATGCAGATTTCACCGTTCCCGGCCCGAGGGAAGACGCTGTCCTGGTCCACGGCGGGTTGGAGAACGATTACGAGTCCGCGGAGGATGGGTGTCACTTCTTGCCGCTGCTTCACGTCGACGAGCATGGCCAGTTGCCCCCGTGCCCGTCACCGAAGTGGGCCGACATGGTGGCGTCCGTCGCTGGTCGCAGCGGCGATCTCGTGCTGGAGTCGCGCGTCCGCGACGGGGGCGACTGCTACTTCCACGCGCTCCTCGTCCTCCTGCATTTCCGGGGCGTTCTGCTGCTCGCGCCGGGCGGCGCGTCGGCGGCACCTGGGGGGGGCGGTGCCGGGGTTGCCCCGAGCCCCCCTTCCCCCGCGGGCTCGCCAGCCGGCCCAGGTCCAATCGTTGACGGACCTCGGAAGAGCCCCGAGCTCGCCTCTCAGCACCCGCCTGAGTCGCCAGCTTCTGCGGAGAAGACGTCGCCTGCGTCGTTCACCTCCTTCAGGAATGGGGCGCGATTCGAGGATTCTCTTGCAGAGAGTGCCAGCTTTCGCGTCCCAGACCCCACGGGCGAGAGTCTTGCCGCATTGCAGGCTATAGTCGAAGAGCTCCCGGAGGACGAGGCATCGAAAGCGATCGAAGAGTTCTTGTTCCCCGACATCGTCTTCGAGGGATTTAAAACGAAGGAGGGGGTGTACGAGACAGTGCGCCACAGGGTCATGAGGGCGTGGGAGGACACCCGGTCCCACCGCCAGATTGCCAGCGAGCTGGATTTCGATTTGCGCACCATCGCGCCGAAGCTGTTGGCGGACGCCGTCCACGCCGCAGGCAAGGCCCGGGGGTCTGTCCGCGGAAGCGCTGCTCGCCGCCGTCGAGTGCAACATGGGTTTCATCGAGGCGCCTGGAACGACGCTCACGCACTTGCCGTCGTCAGGCCATTACATTTCCCCTGGCCAGCCCCTCTTGATTGGCAGTGCGTCCTCCACGCGGAAGTCACCTTTGATGCAGTGCACGGATAAATGGTTGACGCAGGTCCCGGAGGCCTCCCCTGTTTTCAAAGACAAGTTGGTCATGAACACGGACTGCACCACGGAGGGCATTCGGAAGCAACTCGAAGAACACAGGCGGTGCGGCATTTCCAGCGACGAGGCCGCCAACACGTTCCTGACGCCCTTCAGCGACCAGGAGTCCGGGGTGCAGTATCTCAGCTGCGCGAAGCTTAACACGTGGACGCAGAGCGAGTACGACGGACCGGCGACCGGCAACGGCAAGGTGTCTTTGGACAACTACAATTTCATGCTCAAGTGCTCGGGCCAGACGGAGGTCGTCGAGTTTATCGCCATGCCGATAGTGCACGGGTTCCAGAAGCGCATGCAGACGGTGTGGGTCCTCCATGACAGCGGGTGAACCCTGGGCCCATCACATGTCGCCATCCTGCCTACCACGCGGCCGAACACTCGGCCTCACTCCTCAAGCTAACATCTTCTGGCCCATATTTGGCCTGAGTCCTCAAGTTCGCTTCTTTTTGGCCCGCTTCTTCTGGCCTCATCTTGGTCGTGCCCGACTCTCGGGGCTGTTTCCGAGTGCAGCGGGTCTTGGCGGGACCTTCCAGGACGTGCGCGCAGACGACGGGGTCGATTTCGAACAGAGCGACTCATTCATCGAGCGGCTGCACGGATGGATGCACGCGCATTGTTCCGCTGTCGCCAGCGCACTCTCGCTCGACGGCTACGCCTACACCATATACCGTGCTGCGAAGCAGGCTCTGGATGACATCTGTCAGACCGTGCCGATGCCACAGGTGTTCAAGGCGAAGTTGAATTTCTTTCACAGCGACTTGCTTCGCGGGACGCACCGGGTGCACCGCGGGGCCCAGTTCGCCAGGGGCTATATCGCCCAGCATGCCGCCCAGGGCGGCGGCGGCGCCCTGGCGCCGCTTCCGCCCCTCGATGCCGCTCGCTGGCGTCGCCCCCCCAGTGTCGACGACGTCACGATGGGCCTCCACAAGGTGCTGCGCCAAATTGACCTTCACTTCGGGTTGTACCGTTTCCACGCAGCCCAGAAGGCCGCAGCCGCCGAGGGCAATCATCGCTCTGGTGCCGACTGCAGGGGCGTTGGCGGATGTTCGGCGGCCGTTCTGGCAGCTCCCGACGTCGCGGAGGCCGCGGTGAAGGGTCTCGCGCCGTCCGAGCTGATGCGGCAACTTTTGCTCATCCGCGCCCCCAAGAGGCAGACTTTCACGGCGGCGGACGCGAGGCAGTGGCTCCGAAACAAGAGGGATTCGTGGTACAGGACGGACCTGGCCCAGAAGATATCCGACGGCCTGGCGGCGCTGGTCGCGGCGCATCTCGTCGACAGGGTCGCTGGTGTCGCCGACGCGGGGGAGTCCTCCTCGAGGGCCGAGGCGGCGCCAGGCGGCCTGAGCGTTGTTTTCTAGCGAATTGGCACTGCCGCGCCCGGGGGCTCGGGGTAGACAGGGGTGGCCCCGTTCGCTTGCCCTTCTTCATTCCTGGCTGGGTGGGCCCGGGCATGAATTCTCGGCAGCGGGCCCAGTCGCCCGCAGTCGCCCTGCAAATTTCCACGGGCCCTTGGCGGGAGAGCCCGAGTCACATGCAGACCGAGCGCCCGGGCTCTCGACGGGCGACGGGGGTTCAGTGCGCCCTCGAGGCAAGCGCGCGGTCAACCCCAAGGGCGAGGGCACGTTCAAGAAGCGCAAGTTCGAGGCCATCTTGGCGGACGCCGACGCCACGGAGGAGCGCAAGCGCTTGCGAGTCAACACGAGCGAATTTGAGTGATGAGGGGGCGCCTTGGACCCGGGCGCATTCCGGCCGTCAGCCGACCTCCGCGCATCAGAACCTCATGGATGGTTGGGATCTCGTGGATGGCTGATATTTCTGAGCGCCTCTTGGGCGCCTTTTGGGATTTAATGGAATCCTCTTGGGGCCTCTTGAGGTCAGTATCGGGCCTGTTGGGAGTTTTCTGGGAGCCTCTTGGGGGTTTGTGGGAGCCTCTTGAGGTTTCTTGGGCGCCTTTTGGGGGTTCTTGAGGCCACAGGAGATTATTAGAGGGCTCTCTAATCTCCAGGGACCCCCAGTGGATCCCAAAAGGCACCCAAAAAGAGTCACACAGGCGCATATACTTTGTATCTCTAAGGGTGCCCTCAAGGAGCCCTGCTGGGTCCCTTTCGGAGCCCCCTGGAACCTGTTTCAGAGAGTTCCCGAGATTTTCCGAATCCCCAAAGAGCTCACCAGGAATCCAAGAAGGCCCAATGAGGGCCCCCAGTAGATCCCAAAAGCATCCAAAAAGAGGTACACTCTTGCATATACTTTGTGCCTCTTTGGGGGGGCTCTCTTGGAGATCTCTCAGACCTCCCTGGGATCCTGTCGGAGCCCTCGGAGCCCTGCTAAAGGGAGCTCCCGAGACTTTCCGAACCGAATACCCGAGGAGCCGCAAAGGAAATCCAAGAAGGCCACACGAGGTTCACCAGGGGGCCACAAAAGATACCGCAACAAAAAAAAAAAAAAACAAAAAAACACTCGCGCAGGATCATATTCAGGGTGCGTGTTGATTCGAAGCTCTCGCGCCATGCCAGCGGCAGCCGCGGTGCCACTGCGCACTCGCGCTCCATTAGCTCATAATCAGCACCATGCATCGTCCGAGGGAGACGGAGCGCTTCCGGGGCTGCCTCGAGTTACGCCCTGGCTCTCTTATATCCTTCCATTTACATATGTTGCAGTGGCACGTGATTTTGCGTGTGACCTCCTCCCAGTGCAGAGTGCGTAGGCGTTGCGCCCGTGAGTGGGGGCACTGGCTCGTGAGGAGCGGATAGTTGAGAGGTCCGCGCCCGGGGTTGCCCCGCGGGGGGCCGCGGGCACAGTCGAAGCGCATCTTTGCCCGTCTCTCCTTTCTCCTTCCTCGTATCATTGAAAACCCTCGTTCCTGTCTACTTCTGCATGTGTTGTAGTTTGGCTTTATCTGCATGTATTTGATCCCTCAGCCTTATATCTGTTCTTTTTGCAATTATTTGCTGTTATCGAGTACTGCATTTAATGATTGGGATCCATCGCGCCCGACGCCGTCGCAACCGTCATCGTCGTCTTCGTCGCGATTGCCGTCGTCATCGTCATCGCCATTGTCACCGCGGCCATCGTCGTCGGCATAGTCGCCGTCGCAGGACCGTCGCCATCGCAACCGCCATCGCCGTCTTCGTCGCGGTTGCCGTCGTCATCGCCATCGCCGCTGTCACCGCGGCCGTCGTAATCGGCATAGTCGCCGTCGCAGGGCCGTCGCCGTCACGTTGCTGTCACCGCGGCCGTCGTAGTCGGCATAGTCGCCGTCGCAGGGCCGTCGCCGTCACGTTGTTGTCCTCGTCGTGCAATCGCCCCCATCTGTTCTCGCCTGAGACAATTCCGCCTTGGGCGGTCCCGGGGATCTCCGAGACCCACGGGCTCTATAGGGCGAGTGGGAGGGCGACTGGCGGGAGTTCCCCTGGTTGGGAAAACGAGGGCGGGGGGCCGGGACCTGGACGGACCTGGAGGATCTCTGGTGAGGAATCAATGAATCAATCTGGCCCAGGTTCACCATCGCCGTTGTGGACGGACCCGGGGGGGCCCGGGGATCCTCGTGACCCTCCGCCAGTGTCGTCGGCGCCGGGTGCTCTGGGTAGGGAGGGGTGGACCCTTTAAGTTGCCCCATCTGCCGAAGATTCAATCGCGCGGCGTCCGGGGCTGCCCCGAGTTGCGCCCCTGTGCTCTCGCTGCAGCGGGGGGCTCGGGGTTGAGGGGTGGGCTCGTCCACGCCGCGGGAATCCCAGTCAGACGCAGGAGACCATGCGACGAGGGTCTCTGGTGGAGAATGCGGCCTAGATCTTCTCCGCCGCGCGGCGGTTAATCCTCCCCCCATCCAGGGACGGTGCGGGCCCGCTGGCTCGCCGGCTCGCTGATCGGTTCCGAGGTGTTTTGGGAATCGTCGCGACCCTTGGTTTTTGGGAGAGCGGAGAGTTACGCTCGCCGCCGCCGTCGCCGTCGCCGCCGTCGCCGCCATCGCCGTCGCCGTCGTTTATCTGCCTTCCCCAGACCCTTCTCAAGGCGGCTAGCATGGGGCCTTTTCCTGCAACGTCGCCGGCCGGGCGATTGCCGCAGAGACAGCTTCGTTTATCTGCCTTCCCCAGGCCCTTCTCAAGGCGGCTAGCATGGGGCCTTTTCCTGCAACGTCGCCGGCCGCGCGATTGCCGCAGAGACAGCTTCCCGCTTGGCGTTGTTTCCACAACTCGCGCAAGCGCGTTTGTCGTGATCTCGGCGACCCCCGGAACGTCCGCCCGGCTAGCCTGGCGCCGAAGAGAGCGCGCCTGCAGGAGTCGGCGCCGGCGTGTCTTCCAGCCACACTGCCGGCGCGGACGTCCATCAGGGATTCTCGCTGCGGTGCTGGCCCCACTGGCGACGGCGCCGAGGACGGGCACGGCGGGGCCAAATCGCCGCCGATTCTCCAACCTCCTCCCCCGCCCCTTCCCCTTTCCTCGTGCCCGATTCTCCAACCTCCTCCCCCGCCCCTTCCCCTTTCCTCGTGCCCTGCCCTGGCCGCTGCCGCTGTCATGGCCGCTGCCGCTGCCCTGGCCGCTGCCGCTGCCTTGACCGCTGCTACCGCTCAGGAAGACAAGTGGGCTGCGCGCCTCGCTGCTGGCCCCGCCCCTTCCCCTTTCCTCGTGCCCTGCCCTGGCCGCTGCCGCTGTCATGGCCGCTGCCGCTGCCCTGGCCGCTGCCGCTGCCTTGACCGCTGCTACCGCTCAGGAAGACAAGTGGGCTGCGCGCCTCGCTGCTGGTCGCACCCTGCCCATGCTTCGCTGCGTGCGGGCGATCAGACTGCTGGACCCAGCGCCGCCCCCTATTCCGCGGGAAGCCCGGCTGTCGCCCGCGGCTGGGCTCATCGCACGCCGCGGCGACGAGGCGCCCCCGGGTGTCACGCAGAACCGAGAGTCCCCTTGTTTTGTTTGCTCTCTTTCTTTCTCTCTTTCTTTCTCTCTCTCTGTCTCTCTCTCTCTCTCTCTCTCTCTCTCTCTCTCTCTCTCGCCCTCTTCTCTCTCACGCGCGCGCGCGCACCCTCTACCTATATATATGTGCATGTAAATGTATATGTATATATATATATATATATGTAGATGCATGTAAATGTATATGTATATATATATATATATATAGATCTCTCTCCACCTGCTTGCGCAGGTGGTGTTCATCGTGGACACTTTCTCCAAGCGCAGGACTGCGATGTGCGACGTTGTGCCCCTCTCCGCTACCTCGTGCAAGTCGGCGCCCGCTGACGCCACCCACGTTCTTCAGCGCCGAAGGATGGCGACGTGCTGCGCGTCGGAGCTCTTCGAGGTCGGCGTGACTCATCGCGTCGTAGGTTTCAGGGGCGACACGGTGTACCTGCAGCGCCTTCTGGAGAACCCCGCCCAGGGCGGAGGAGCGGGAGGCGGGCTCTCCCGGGGTTGCCCCGAGTTGCCCGCGGACCTGTTGGACGTTATGGAAGAGCTCGCCCAGGCAGCGGCGCGTCAGAAGCGCGGGGTCCCAGCTGCTGACGCGCCTGCTGCTCCTGTCGTGGCGCCGCCTTGCGGCCGCGAGCTGCGGGTGTGGCCGCAGGAGGCACTGGCGCATAAAGAGGGCGGCCATCGCGTCGTTGTCCGTTCTCGTGCGCACGTGGCAGTGCTCCATTGCACCAGGCCTTTTCGTCTCGACGTCAGTTCCGTATATTGCAAGACCTGCGCGAAGCAGTCCAGGATGCGCAGGTGGCGAGTGAGGCACGCCGACATCTCGCGGGCCCTGCGGGACAAATACAACGTCCATCACGTCATGCGTTTCCACGTGGCCAAGTACGGCACGTGTTACGCCACGCTGGGCTGGCTGGCGCAGCTCCTCCAGTCCTTCTACGAGACGTTCAACATGCGCGAGACGAGGCGCCGCCTGCTGGAGGTGTACACGGCCCCAGCTCTCAGCATTGCCACGCTGGGAGGTGTGCCAGACCCCCTGGACCTGGCGTCCGATATCTCGGCGATCCCGAGTCGCCAGGCGCTGGTGGGCATTGTCGTCAAGAGTTTTCGGCCTTTGCTGACGCACATCGTCGACCTCATCGTCGAACGCCAGCTCATCTACAATGCTTCCGTTATCCGCGGCGACGCCCACAATAACATTGCCTCGAGAGTATACGTGGAGGCGGATGCCGGGGATACGCCAGACAAGTTCAAGAATAACCCGTTTACTGCTTTGCAGGCGAGGGCGCCCTTGCCTTGGTCTCCCTCCCTTCATGTCCCCGACTCTGTTTCTGTCTCCAAGTTCAAGATTAACCCGTTTACTGCTTTGCAGGCGAGGGCGCTCTTGCCTTGTACCCTGTTTCTCTTTGTCTCTGTCTGTCTGATTGTCTGTGTCTCTGTCCGCGCATATGTCCCCGCGCGTGCCAGGCGTGGTGCGGCGTGGACGGCAGCCTGCTGCGCCCCCCCCGGCTGTTGGCCGGGGAGTCCTTCCAAGAGCAGCGGAGCGACATAGTTTCGCTCTTACGCCGCGCTCGGAGCGCCAGGCAGCACATGGGCATGTCCATCGCGGAGTCCAGACCTGCCGCGCACACAGCGGCACCCCGGAAATCGCCGAACGTTTCCCAGTCGTCTGTCGGACCAGAGTTCTGATCAGTCGGATCGTTTTGCGTCGGGGCGTGGCGCTTCCGGGGTTGCCCCGAGTTGCGCCCTCGCTCTGTATACATCCTTGCCGAGCGTTTCCCAGTCGTCTGTCGGACCCGAGTTCTGAACAGT